GGGCCCACCACTTCCTCAGATAGGCAGGCTTCAGGCCCCAAATGCCAGGCCCTCCTCTGAGTAACCCCACCACGGAGTTTCTCCACGGCATAAAAAATGATACAGGCCTTTCTGTTCAAAGATTGTGGTGAGCTTCAAGATGGCAGCAGCAGAGTCTTAAGCCAAGCATGGGGCCCTTTCCAGCACAAGCCCTGTGTAACACACCGGTCCCAAGCCACGAAGCCCACCCTGCCCCTGGTATTAACTCTTACACCGGAGGAATGACTCCTTTTGGCTCTGAACTCTTACACGATTCGCATTACAATGAACAACTATGAGGCCAGCACTGTAGTGCAGCAGTTAAGCCCTCTGCATAGGGAACTGGCTCCACATGGCCAACCAAGGTTCAAATCCCAATTCTGGTTCCTTGAAAAACACACTAGGCATGTGTGCATACAGGCCCCAAATCCTGACGGGCTAGAGAGGTGGAGAGAAAAGGATTTCAGCGTGACCATACCAGTGGGAGGGCCTTTCTTTCTCTCCCTCTCACTCTCTGCCTCTTTCTTTCACATATACAGGCAAATGCACCTGCTGGCAATAAATATGTGTGTGTGTTTATATTTATATTTATATTTATATTTATATTTATATTTATATTTATATTTATATTTATATTTATATTTATATTTATGTATGTATATGTTTTAACTTGCACATCTAATAAGATTTGTTCGTAGAGGCCAAGGATTGATTCTTATGCTTGTTTGTAAAATCCTCCCCAAACCTCTGATAATACTCTGAGCTTCTCAAACACCGTAACTACTTTATCAGCTGTCATTAGGGTTTTGTTTTGTTTCGTTTTGTTTTTGAGAGGTTTTTGCTATAGGGCACATGCGCTTGCCAGACAGAGAGAGACAGAGAGACAGAAAGCGAGAAATCACCCCCCAGGAGGGATGGCCAGCATGCAATCCCTTCTCCATTCTCCTCTCGGGATCTTGGGCACGCACGCACACGCACCCGGCGTGAGTTTTAAGCCACTGGGTCTGGGACACAAACCACAGTCGACTACGTGTGAGTCCAGCGACATAGCCATTACGCTAACTGCTGGTCCCTGTCATTAGGGTCTTACAGTGATCCCTGAGGGAATGCCTTCTTCTCTTGCTCTCTGGGCTACGACGATGCACACAGCTCTGTGCTGAGCACGAGGAGCAGAGGTTCGGCCAGACGTGGCCCTGCCTCAGGTCAGCCACCCAGCTGATTCTCCGTCAGGGACTAGCTGTGCTGTACACGACTCTGGGTTCTGGAGGCAACCCTTCCAGATCTCACAGTCTGCAAGGGAAGTTAAGATGCTGTCTGAGGGCTGGCAGCAGCATGGTGGTTAAAGGCGCTGGACTCCCACATAGATGACCATGGTTCAAATCCTGGACCTGGAGACTTGCTTTCTCACTTTCCCTCTCTCTCTCTTTGTCTGTCTCTCTCTGGTTAAATTAAAATAATAATAAATAAAGCTAAATAATGATAATTTTTTGAGAGGTTTCTGCTATGGGGCACGTGTGCTCGCCAGAAAGACAGAGACAGAGAGAGACAAAGAAACAGAAAGTGATAAATCACCCTCCCCAGGGGGAATGGCCACACCACAATCCCTCCTCCTCCATTCTCCTCTCGCGATCTTGGGCACGCACGCACATGCACCCAGTGTGAGTTTAAGACACCAGGTCTGGGACTCGAGCAGCAGTCGACTACATGGGAGTTCAGCGACCTGCGGTCGGTCGTTACAGCTCCATTTCACATTTACGCCACCTGCTGGTTCTAGTAATTTTTTTAAAAGACGCTGTCTGAAGCTGCCTGTTGGTCCCTCTATGCCATAGGACACACTATGTGAGACAGATACCTAGCAGGTTCTGGGAGCGCCTCCAAAGCGGCATCTCACCTAGGCTCAGAGAAGGAGCCTCCTCCCCAGGGCTCTGGAAGGGCTCATTGCAAGTTGTTAGCAGGCAACAAAAACAAGTGCCGATGCCCTGGCGGCTCTGATCCGGCCAGGGGC